TCCAAAGTACGGGTATGAAGACATGAATTGGTGTGAATATACTATGTATACAACCTGAGATATGAAAAATTGTGCTCTAGATATGTAATAAGCATTATAATGCATTCTGCTGTCATATATAAATAAAAAAAAAAATGAGGCGATGGTTAAAGTATGGACTTGGATTGCTATATAAAGCAAGAACCTAGGGCCAGACTTCTCTGGTTTAAATCCCAGTGCTGCTTATCTCTATCTGTGTTGTCTTGAGCAAGTTAGTTAACCTCTCTGACTTCCATCCTCCACAGAATGTGGATGATAACAGTTGGTAATTTTAAGTCTATTTTGAGGGTTAAATGAATCAGCATTTGTAGAATGGTGCCCTGCCCATAGTTAATGCAACAAGAGCATTTATTAAAGCAAATAACAAATGACAGATTTGTTGTGGGGATGGTTTTGATGTGAAATATGAAGCTCTAAAGGCAGTCCTCCTGAGAGTGATAAGAATTCAGAAAGAATTATCTATTGTTACGTCACTAATGTTCGCTATATTGTTTTTGTCATCACTGATACCATTATCATTCTTAGGAGCAGAGTTAACTTTTATTGAGGTCCTATAAAATTGTAAACACAATGCTGGGAAACTAATTTTTTCATCATCTTTGGGATTTTTCAGGATTTAGGAAACTGGTCCACCCTGGTGCTCTCTCTACACCTGTAGTGTACTTGGTTCCCTTTATAGCAAGTAGCTAGAGTCCTGCTTGGTTTTCTCCCTGGGAATCCCAACAAAAGTAAAGCATGAATAGGAGTGTGGCCTTATTTCCTAAGTCCACCTGGCCTTGACCTCTCAACCAGATTCCCACAAAACAATAGCTTTTTCAGAGCTACAAAGAGGACACAGTTGGAATGTAGTAGGTACAGCACTAACTCTGGGGCTCTTTGGGATATGATGTATTTTTCTAGAAAGATAATATATGTCCTTGTGGAATATCTAGGAAAGGAAAACTGTTCTAAGAAACTTCTGACCTTTGCTAATGAATTAGTGCTGGTTATCATCTAAAATTAACTTTTAGAATTTTTAATCCCTGAATACAGAAACAACACATTCACCCAGCAACTACTTTAACATCTTGAGTTTGTCTACCCTTACAGTCATGTGCATGTGTGTGAGAGAGAAATCTTAAAATGGGATATACAGGCATTAATTTGGGGGAAAATGATAAGCATTTTAATAAAAATGGCTTGCTTGATGTACCATATTATTTGGAATTTTTGTTGCAAACTTGACTTCCAAATATAACATGGAATTCAGATCATCCCATGAAATTTAACTTCAGTTCCAGGTCATAAAGATTGTATCTAATATCCAAGAGTGGCTTTGGGGAATTATTCAGATTTTGGAGTATGGTCTGCCTAGCACTTAAGCAAAGGCTTTGGTTTAAAAAAAAAAAATCTCAGCCATGGAAACATAGGAGGTGAAGATTTTCGTTCATAGCATTTGTGCGAAAAGGACTTGGGGCGTTAGTTGATGAGAAAGTCAGTGTGAACATTAGGAGGCATTCATGGTCGCCATAGCCCAGAGCAAAGCAGGTGATAATGTCACTGTACTTTGCTTTGGACCACATCTGCACCAGTGCCATTATCCCTGGATGCTGTATTTAAGTGCAAAATTGACTTATTTGACCAGGCCTAGAGTGTATTGACCAACATGGGGAAGTACCTAGAAAGAGGAATCGGGTAGGATCCTTATCCAGGAGGGGTTTCTAGTCTACATGGGAAACAGGCTTGAAAAAAAAAATAGGGATATCATTGCTGTTTTCAAATATTTGCAAGACGAGCAGCTTTTCCTGGGAGCCAGAGCAGTTCATTGGAACAGCACACGTGGCTGAGGTCCAAGGCTAAGGGGAGAAGTACTGCTCATAAAACCTGGCTGATGGTTTCATCATCCATAGAGCTGCTGCCTCCACTCCCTCTGCAGACTCTCAGGAAGACCCCACAACACTTGAGTCTAAAGAGTAGAACTGTTAGAGCTACGTTGCTCTCTGGACACTTGCTTGTGATCACTTCCAGTATCTTTCCTTTTCCTGCTAGCACCACATGGCTCCTAGTCTCTGGCTTGTAGCATCAAACTTCTGCTGCCCTCACCGTGACCAGCTGGCCAGGAAGTATAGCAGCACCTGGTGTACTCCACTACAGTGCTTCCTAAACTTTAATGTGCACATGAATCATCCGGGATCTTTTTGAAATACAGATTCTGATTTCATAAAGCTTGGGTGGAGCCCAATAATCTGAATTTGCAGGGGTGATGCTGTTGCTGCTGCTACTGCTCTGATTTCACTTTGGGTAACAAGCTCTGCTATGTATTACGGGTCTTCCCCCAGGCGATAGCCAAATCCCATCAGGCCAGTGACCATCTCTTCCAAGTTGCTACCAGTGACCATCTCTTCCAAGTTGCTATCAGGACTAAGCCTCACATCTCTATTAGCAGAGGGTTACTGCCTGGAAAAATTGCCTTATTCACTTCATGAAGCAATTTTATCTGGATGTCACTTAGCCATCCAGTATTTTTTTTTTTTTAATCCCTGGTGCCGTTTCAGCAGTTATCTAACATATTATTTTTAAAAACACATCATATTGAAGTTCTTCCAAGTTGTTTGAGATAATATCACCTTTTGAATATATACATGATGCTGTCAGAAATATTAGCCTAAGACAGAAGTATTTGCTAGCATAATATGGGGGCAGATTTTTTTCTCATAGCTATATATTTGTGATTACCACAAGGTAATCACTTACTCCAGTGCTTTATAAAGTGATCTTTAAATGATGTTTTTATAATACATTAAGCACTTGCTCAATGAGGCCAGAACCCCAGGAATAATGATTAAATCTGGTTAAATGTATTTACCTTCCTCCTTAATGATTTTATCAGCTGATCTCTGAACATTTCTCCTTGTCATTGATTGAAGTCCTTTTGGTCATGTTTCTTCCCTTAGGAGTCACTTTCGGGTCAAGACAAGGGTATGAATCTTGGTAAGGTCTCAAATATAAAATCCCAGTTCTTTTCTATACTGGAGCTACATGGTCTTGGCAAAGCACCTAGTATCTCTGATCATATGTGAGCTCGTCTGTAAAATAGGAATAATAATATCTGCATTAAAGAAATGAAATGGGATAATGTCTATGAAAGTATGAAAGTATTTCACATATTCCTGGCACATAGTGGTCACTCAATGAGCAGTAGCTTCTCTTGACTTTGCTTCTCTTAGGATGCTTTCTACTTGTTTGGTGTTTTTTTTTTTTTTTTTGGTTAAGGAGAGACATTTTATTCATTTTTCTTTCTTTACTAGTCTGAAAACAAGTGAGATAGGGATCTGTATTTTAAATGCTTTTTCATTTCTTCACTATGTGTTCAGGAAGACATATTGAATGAATTAGTGCATGACTAGATAGTCTCTAAGGCCTTGACTTTTAAGTTCTGGCATTGTTTGACTCTTCTAATGTTTTAGTTGCTTAAAAGAAATTGGAGAGTGTCTTTAGAATAAATGTTAAGGAATTTCTTCCTTTTTGGTCTTATAAAATATGTATTTTATTAATTATTGCTAATAAGTATGTACCTGGCCCCAGGAGCTGGCTGCTCTCATATAAGGAGCTTCTTCAGTTCAGGCCTGATTTTTTGTTGTGTTTCAAGTAAGAGAGGTCAGCACTAGCTTTGATTCTCCGCTTCCCTTGAACTTCTCTTGGGAATATCTCCTGTGAAAGATAAGCAAGAAATATGCATTTGTTCTCTGACATGAGATTTGGGAATCATGCATAATAGAGGTTGAGTTTCATGATATATTCATTTCGGTCCTCATGGAAGATGCATTTTGTATTTTTGATTAACAGTCTAGCTGGTGAGGTCAGGCCAACTCAGTGGATTAGAGGAGACACAGCAGGTCCTTTTAAATCTCAGGATTAAACTGGTCACCATCTCAGTGAGCAGCTTTTCGATTGTCACATGAATGTGTTGCTGGAGGTTAGTACTGGTTGAGGTAATCTTGCTCCTGCTTGAGGGCATCTCTGGTGCCTGCCTCTAGGATGGCAGAAAAGTGCTTAGAAAGTGCACAGTTAAATTTGAATGAGTTTAAATCCTATCTTGGGTGTGTTATTTAATCCTTGAATTTCCGTTTTTAAATCTTTAAAATCAGTTTTATGTGGTTTTGTGGGTGACCTGCTAGTATGATGCCTGTCAGTGAGGTCAGGTCTCATGTCAATGACACATTTCAGAAGAGAAGCATGGAAGATAAAATCCTCTGCTCCCCATGAAAGTGCCAGCACTGGTGGGTATGGGAGGAGTGTTCCCAAAGTTACTTGCTGCAGTCTTCAGCAGTGGCACTAGGGACGTCTCATGGATCTGGAAAACATGATAACCTTAGGAAAGAAAAATCCAAATGCATGTTTCATTCTGGGATAATTTGAAATGCTGATTGATATGTGAGTAGTTTCAACCTTTTCTCCCCTACTCATCTTCTAGGAATTGTCCAGATATAGCCTTTGGTTTAAGGCAGGGAAAAAAACTTAACTAATTTCTGTATTCTTGCAATTTATTTGAATCCCTGATGTCCAACAAGCCTTTTATTTCTCATTAGTTCTTGAAAAAGTTAAAATGGGAGTTCTAAAAATAAACATCAATACTTTCTTTTGACCCAAATGGCCTGTTTTAGACAATAGAAGAAGGATTCTAAACGGGTGCTTTTATGTATTTGAGAGACACAGCCCCATGCTTTGCTAATTAGCTTGTGGCTTCTTACCTCACAGTGGCTCAATTGATCTCCTTTTCAGAGGCTCAGGGTGTCACCACAAGGGCTGTCAGACAATAGGTGAATTGGGTCCCTTACAGTACAATTGATTTCAAGTCATGGTTTTTGTGTTGTGTTTAGCTAATTTTAGATTTTGAGGAACCTCGTAATAAAGGGTAGGGATTGGTGATAGCTGTGATATTCAGAACCAGAAATAAAACAAAATTTTGTTTCTTTACACAGCTATTTTGAACTGGAGAGCAGTGGCCTGAGGGATGAGATTCGATATCACTACATACATAAGGGGAAGCCCAGGACAGAGGCACTTCCATACCGAATGGCGGACGGGCAGTGGCACAAGGTCGCACTGTCAGTGAGTGCCTCTCACCTCCTGCTCCACGTGGACTGCAATAGGTATGTCTTTGATTGTTAGTGATTTTGCCCTTGAAATCAAGCAGTGGAAAGGGGAAAAAAAAAATCAAATCCCTCCAAGACTTGCCAGGAAACAAAAACCAAGGGACCTTAATTGTAATTTAACCTACCAAATGGGCCGTTAGGCGTGCTGAAATGACCAAGTGTAATACGATAAGAAAACAGTTCATTAAGATGAAACTGTATCCTGTGATTAGGAACAAATGTACAAAAGGTTGATTACAGATTGGGGAATATTAAGTACACCCCGGTGTGCTCTCGGCACTGGCTGAAATTCCATGGAACTGTGATCACAGTTAACTGTGATATATTGTTGTTGAGTTCGTTCCACTTGGGAGCAAAGAAGCCAGTCTACCTCAAAATGAATCTGAGAGGCCTTTGCTACTGAAGCGGCTAATTCTATTTTACTTCATCAGGTGCAGCTTTGCTTAAATATCTTTTCCAAATGGGACCTTCTTAAAATGGCTGTTCTTTGAATCTTTTGGAATCAGTGCCATCCATTCTCTGTAGGGGAATGCACCTTCCAGCTTTTCAGAGGGTGGCAGGACTATTTGTGAGATCTGGGGGCTGGGGTTCTATAGAAAGTTGTAGTGACACAGACATGCTGTTCTATTTGGCACTGGAGGTAGGTTTACTGACAGCTGAAGAATGGAGACCACTGGTTTCTGTTCAATCACTTGTGGCTAGACAGCTAGATAATGGTGGTTAGGGGAAAAATGTTGATCTCTCCAGAAACCACTGAAAATCCTTATGGAAAGTGATCCAGTCCAATTACAGAGAATTTTTTTGCATTCCAAGCATGCATTGTTGGTTCTCATTAATGATGCCATTAAAGTTAAAATGACTGTTCAGCCCCAGGGCTTGCTCCCTGGGGCCTAGGGTAAAGAAGTGCTGGGGACAGCCTCCCTCCCAGAACCCATCAAGAGGAAGGGTATTCCAAGGTCAGTCAGTGACAGACTACATATCTGATGAGTGGATTTTTTTTTTTAATGTGCTTGACACTCCTTCTGAAGTCTGCTTTAGAAGACTTGGAAGGGCAGCAATCTGGTGTCAGGCTCAATCCAGTGTCAGGCTCTGAGAAATCGAAGTGTGTCTTGCTTCATTTTGATGTGCTCTATTTAAGGTACTTTCTAGACTTCTGAAGTATTGTGGCTTTGACTAGTTATAGTATTGTGTCTGGACAGTTTCCATAGAAACCATTGGCTCCTTTTCACCCTGCAGACTTGAGCTGGGCAGCCTGGAGGAAGCCAACCTTTAACTTCTCTCTCCATTTCTACCTTTCAGAACTCATTGGCTCTTTCAATTCTCTAGAACTAAAGTGGCCTGGTAGATAGCACTCTTGTTTCCGGTGACCTGCCATCCACATACTGCCCAAGTAGGATTGCAGAGGAAGGACACTGCTTGTCCTCCTAAATCTCAGGCCAGGAAAAGGCCTCAAATTCCTACTTTAGTAATATCCAGCCAAAAATTCCTGGAGACACTGCTGTTTTCTTGCTATACATTATTTTGCTTCTTTCCTCCAAAAGTTTTATTGTGTCTTGACATTGTTCTCTTTCAAGAACAGAAAAAAAAATAGGAGAGAGAGGATCTGTCCCTGCTAAGCTAGAGTTTCTTGCCTTCATAAATGTTTTAGTCCCTATGAAGTATTATTTTCTACCATTCTCAGCCACTTGTTAACTCTGTGACTTTGGGCAGGTGAATTTACTTACATATTAGCGATTTCATTTGAAACAGGAATGAAATATGAATACCTATGTATGAATACTAATTATGCTCTACATCATGATGTTTTGGTTAATAACAGGCAGCATATAAGATGGTGGTCTCATTAGATACATCACTTAATCACATCATAGCCTTCTTAGTCTGTGTAAGTGCATATGTGATGTTCATACGATGACATAATCACCTAATTCATTTATATTCCTGTTGTTATGGATCATATGACTGCACATATTTACAAATGGGAGTGTTAAATATTCCATGTAAGGTGCTTAGACCTTTGGTGTACAATATGCCTTTTGGTGGTGGTTGTTTTTTATTTTGCATATTTACCTCTTTGACCTTGCCTCTAACCTTTTTTTCATTGTTCATACTTTATGGCTTCCACAGCCTCTCTTCAAGAAGAGTGGGAAAAGGATGGGAGCACTTTAGCTTTAGGGTTAGTATTTGTAGAATGGATAGAGGAGATTCTATGTATTCATTTTCTTGATATTTTTACTCTTTGACATATGACATAACATGCTCTTTATGTGAGGTCTTGGGAGATCTTTGGAGTTGTGTGGAAAAATGTGGGATCTGATTGTTGGAACCCATTGCACCTACATTTATTGAATATTATTACACTCTAGGTAACACACTAGGCTTAATGTTCCTGAGGACAGCCATATGGGACAGCTGTATTAGATCCATTTTATAGACTTGGAAATACAAAGGCCCAGAGAATGTAAATCACTAGGTTTCAGTAACATAAGTATAGAAACAAACTTTGGACATGGATCTACCTCTCAAACTTTAGTCTTACTACCCCTCCATATCCCCTCCATAGTGTGTGAGCTTCATGCACTGTCAAAGACAAAGCCGCAAGGACAGGAGGGAGTCTTCCCAGGAGTCAGTGCTACAGAACGTCATAAAAACATTTAAAATCAGTTAACACAAGATTTCCCAGGCAATACCATTGCTCTGAAGAATTTTAGTGTGGCAGGACTTTCTGCTTTATTTTTTTAATACATAGGTTAGAAATTGAGAAACAGCTTTGTCAGACCTAATTGCACAAATCGTCATAAGTAAAGTCATTGCTATTTTAGTACTTCAACACTTTCTATGCTACCAAGACTTATACTTTTTTCCTTGCTTCAGCTGTTTACCAGGGCCTAGCTAGAAAATCTCAGTATACAGGTAGAAGATTACCTCAAACTAGAAAGATAAAAGGAACCATTCAGCTGGGTGGTCAGGCAGGTTATATCTCCATTGCCTTGGGTTTTCCTCTACCTACCTTTTATATTAATAGTTGCCCACCAAGCCTAGAATGAGATCTTCCTCTGATTCTCTCCCTCTGTTCTCAGCCCCCTTAGCAGACTGTCCCATTAGTCAAAGGAAGAATCCATCAAACCTGGGATTCAGATCAATGATCTTTCACATTCACTGCAAATGGATTTTCTTTTTTTTCATTTGGTAACTTTTAATTTCCAATCAGCCAGTCATTTATTGGGTAAACTATCTCTCTGAGGATACTAAGAAATAAAAGCTTCCTAGCCATTGGGAAATTCATGGCTTACTCATTTTGTTCTTTTAATTTCATCCTGAAGCCACTGTTCCTTCCCGTGAACCATGATTGGCCCTGTCCTGGGTATCAGAGAGAGCCTGGACTCAGCCAGAATCCCTGTGAACAGTTTAAGTTTAGAGAGAACTGAAAGTAGTCACTTCTAGCATCTCGATCTTGAAAGTGACAGTAGACTGAGCCCCTCAGCATCCAGGTGATGGACTCTACAGTCTTTTCCATTCAAATGGCAGCCTGTGGCTAGCACTGTCTGCAACATGCAAGTGCTCCTGCCCTAGGTTAACCTCTTTTTTTTTTCATTTTTTATTTTAATTGGTTATATATGACAGCAGAATGTATTAAAATTTATATTACACATATAGAGTGCAAGTTTTCATATCTTATTGTACACAAAGTGGAGTCACACCATTTGTGACTTTATACATACACTTAGGGTAATGATGTCCATCTCCTTCCACCATCATTCCTACCCCCGTTCCCTCTTCCTTCCCCTCCCTCCCCTTTTTCCCTTTGCCCTATCTAGAGTTCATCTAATCCTCCCATGCCATCCCAAACCACATTATGAATCAGCAGCCTTAAATCAGAGAAAACATTTGGCATTTGGTTTTTTGGGATTGGCTAACTTAGCATTATGTTCTTCAACTCCATCCATTTAACTGCAAATGCCATGATTTTATTCTTTTTTAATGCTGAACAATATTCCAGTGCGTGTGTGTGTGTGTGTGTGTGTTTGTGTGTGTGTGTGTATCACATTTTCTTTATCCTTTCATCTACTAAAGGGCATCTAGGTTGGTTCCACAGTTTAGTTATTGTGAATTGTGCTTCTATAAACATTGATGTGGCTGTGTCCCTGTAGTATGCTGCTTTCAAGTGCTTTGGGTATAGACTGAGGAGTGGGATAGCTGGGTCAAATGGTGGTTCCATTCCAAGTTTTCCAAGGATTCTCCATACTGCTTTCCATATTGGCTGCATCAATTTGCAGTCCTACCAGCAATGTATGAGTGTATCTTTTCCTCAAAATCCTTGCCAACACTTTTTGTTGTTTATATTCTTAATAGCTGCCATTCTGACTGGAGTGAGATGAAATCTTAGAGTATTTTTGATTCACATTTCTCTAATTGCTAGAGATTTTTTTTTTATATATTTGTTGATTGATTGTATATCTTCTTCTGAGAAGTGTCTGTTCAGTTCCTTGGCCCATTTATTTATTGGGTCATTTGTTCTTCTGGTGTTAAGATTTTTGAGTTCTTTATATATCCTAGAGGTTATTGCTCTATCAGTGTGTGCATGGTAAAAAATTGTTCCCAAGTTGTAGGCCCTCTATCACTATCACCACACTGATTTTTTTTTTCCTGAGAAGAAGCTTTCTGGTTTGAATTCATCCCATTTATTGATTCTTGATATTAATTCTTGTGCTATAGGAGTCTTATTAAGGAAGTTGGGGCCTAATCCGACATAACAGAGATTTGGGCCTACTTTTCCTTCTTGTAGATGCAGTGTCTCTGGTTTAATTCCTAAGTCCTTAATCCACCTTAAGTTCTGTCTCACTGCTAGAAAAATTATCTCTGAATCACAGTCTATCATATTTTAACCAAACTCTGAATTCTTATTTCATTTGTTCAGACTTGTAGAAGTGTGCTTGGCACGTGCATGCATACACACACACACAAACACACACATATACTCTCTTATCCTGATCACT